TAAATGAATGAAAATCTATATTAAGAGGTTTCAAATTCAACTAAATTATGCTATTGAACAGTTAGTGAGTACAAGAGTGATCAATAATATATCACTTCATATTTTCAGCTTTTTTCATTTACGAATTCACTGTTTCCTGTGTGCCTATTATGTGATAATCACCTTTTATGATCAAGTTTTCTGAGTGAAAGGCTCTTATTTAAATATGTGTGTAAAAAGAAAGATCTATCTGATAAAAAAAGTATATCCTAAGGCAATGCACCAGCTTTCAAAATGCAGCTGTAACCTGCTTTAAGGCAGGTTAGACCTGGAGCTGCTTTCAATAGGAAGCTGTCCTAGAGATAATGGCAGATTCCTGGTAGTCCTGGTTGCTGTGGGATGAGACCTGTGAAGTGATATTGGAAGCTTCAGATTGAGGGACCCTATTTCAAGACCTGGGGTAAATGGGGGCCCAAGGAAGAAGGTCCCAGTGAGCAGTAACACCCCTCTGACCTGAGCTCCAGGGTTCCCTGAGAAGAGACTGGTTATCCAACAAGTAAACTGCACCAAGCCGCCTCCTCTTCAGCTCTGTTGTTATCAGACCCGATGTTTTTCCTATCTGCACACATTACTTTTCTTTCTTTTCTTTTCCCTTCCCTTCCCTTCCCTCCCCTCCCTTCCCTCCCCTTCCCTTCCTTCTCTCTCTCTCTCTCTCTCTCTCTCTCTCTCTCTCTCTCTCTCTCAGCTTAAGTAAAGCAGGAATAAAGAGTCTTCACAAGCAGCTGCCTGTGTTTAGATCGTGCAATGCATTTTGCAGTGAGAGCTCTACAGAATATCAAAAAAATCATTAAAATTTCACCTCTGCAGAGAAAAACGACTAATTTTACTCCTACAGTGCATCAGCCGTATTGGCAAGGAGAGTGTCATCTTTGAATCAATTATTGTGGTTAAAGTGAGGATGCATCCGTCCCTCCCCACTCCTGGCTTCACCCCGAGGTGATAGTGAATAGAACCCAAGGGGTGTAAGTGACAGGGAGGTTCTCACAGGACTCAAGTCTCAGATATAGAAGTGAAGGTTGTTCACTGTGTCTCACCCTGCTTGGTGCCACAAGGACATTTCTTCTCAGAGGGAGGGGTTGTTTATAAACTTATTTAATGATTAGTTCAAGGAGGGTAGGAAGGAAATACATCTTCAGCTTCAGATTCTTCAATCTTGTTTCCATCATGATTCATTTTGCCTGTTTTTCTACAACTTTTATTTATATTTACAGTTATAATTGGTAATTGGAGGGTCCCAAATACTAAAGTGTATATATTAATATATATTATCCCCCTTCTCTTTTAAACAGATCTTGTCATGTTTAGGACAAGTTTAAGTTCTAACAAATATTGAGAAGAGTTGATAATATAAAATATAAGCCAGACTTAGCTTCAAAATTGAAGCTCTTCTTCAGTTTTATGTAGTGAATCATTGAAGATCTGCTCCTTAGCCAATTGAGCTTAGAGACATACACATAAACAATGTACTAAAATGCAGCTAGCTACTCTGTGTGTAGATGAAGGAAGGATGCCTTCCATTTACTGAGAGCCTAGTTCCTGGTGAGAGGCTTTCTTTGCAAAAATATTATTTAAAGTAAGCAGTATTTAAAGAGGGAAGGGCATTCCAGACCCCAGTGTGGAGATTTCTGTGGATAAATATAAATGTGCAACCTTAAATATTGCCTATCTTATGAGTTCTAGGCCTTAGCAAGAGGGGTTCTGAGCTAGTACATAGACAATAGCATAAACCCAGACCCCAGGAGGGTCCAAAGGTCAAATGTGTTTGGATGACCCACGGCATGCTTTTAAAACAATGAGCCAACATTTACAAATCCAATTTCACATTAAAATGGGAAGATCTGGGAAAAAAAGACTTCACTCCTGCCTTCAGTTAGAACTAACAGCTGTCCCTTCAAAACTTGCAGAGGCTTTCTGGTCAGCCACTGTTCCCTCCACTGCAGGTTCTACACAGGCCTACTTGTACCCTTGTCTTTCCTGCCTCACCTATGGATTTAGGAGGTAATGGGATACACATGGAGCTCCAAGCCCCTTTTCCTTCAACTGGATGGTAGGGCAAAAAGTTAAAGAATATAATGAGGAAAAACAATTTTCTGAGGATTTCAGGACAAAGGGCCAGTGGAATACCAAGAGGGCTGTGGTGGTTTTAAAACATGGTCACAAATTTCGTGACACCCCTCCCATTGAGAGTTGGGAGTCTATGTTTCCACCCATTGAATCTGAGCTTGTGACTGCTTTGACCAATAGAATATTGCAGAAACGACACTATCTTACATTTAAGGCTACCTCACAAAAGGCTGTGTAGCTGTCTTGTACTACAGAACACTCTCCTTTGGAGTCTGACCACCAGGTAAAAAGTCAGACTACTCTCAGGCTGCCATGATGTGAGGATGCCCAAGCCACATGGACAGACCACATGTGTTCATTCTGCTCGGTAGTCACAGCTGATCCTAGCCTGGGCACCAGAACTGTGTGAAGTCCCTGGGGGACCACAAATCCCAGCTATCTGAGTTATCCCTAGTGATTTAGTCTTCCCAACTGAGGCCAACATCATGGATCAGAGATAAGACATTCTCACTGTGCATGGTCTGTGAATATAATAAAAATGGGTGTTGTTTTACATTATTAAGTTTTGAGGTGGCAGTAACAGATTGTTGACATACTAAGTAAGGCCTGTGGAATACTAAGAAAGTATCTGAAATGGCTTCTTTTGTGCTATCAATGCCGTTGTCTGTTAGCCTCTGCTGGGTTCTAAGCTTTATCTAAGATATTCAAATTGAATACTCACTTGTCTGCAGTCTGTCCCTCTCCTCCTCTGGAACCAATGGGAAGGAGGTCACCCGGGCAGTTTTCATGGTGCGCCCTGATAAGCAGTGTGATTTAGAAATAATTCTTGGCTGTTATTGCCTGAGGGCTAAAGCACCAAAAGAAGTGTGCTTCTGCTGTGATCTGACAAACTTGCCTTTGAAATGAAGTTTCCGTCTTCATCTTGGAAACAAGGATAATGACACCTGATCGCCTATTTCTTTCATATTGGTTAAAAGTTTCGGTGAATGTAAATCTCATATTTCCAGAAGTGGGAGAATATAACGTTACCTACATTGGCATGGAGGCAGAAGTATTACTTGTGAAAGCTCCTGTGTATTTCCCAAAGCTTCCCATCACATAATTACACATAAGCAATGTTGTGCACAGGAATATACTTCTTTTTTTTTTTGTCTTTTGTCTTTTTCCGTGTCCAGCAACGGATCGCAACCCTCAGTGTTGCCCCCGCACCGGACCGGGGACCGGCAACGGGATTGCAACCCTCGGTGTTGCTCCCGCGCCTCGCTCAGCCAGTGAGCAGGAACCGGTCTGAGGAATATACTTCTTTTAATATTCTAAATAACTTATTTCAATAGCACTCGTTTTATTTAGGGTTGTGGCTCTTTGAAAATATCTCAATGGATCCCCTACTGTGTAAATAAATGTGCATGAAACTTGAGAATGGCAATATGAAGGGAAACTACAGAAAAGTGCTAATACAACTGCACCATCAAGAACTGAAGAGGACAACCAAGGTGTCCGTCTCTTTCCTGTGTGTTTAAGAGAACTTTGCTGTCTTAATAGGTGTGGCCACCGCTGAAATCACAGTTTGGAAATTTCTCAACTTTATATTTCCTTGCTTCTTAATATCTTCTTAGGGCTTTCCTTAAATGACATAGTTGATGTGCTCTTAGGGATCAAAGAAATAAATTTTCCTAGTAATGCAGTGGCAGTCAGTGATAATCGTGTCCTCAAGAAGGAGTCCTACACCTAAACTTTTTAATAGCTGGAACTAAATCACCTGACCAGAATATCACCCCAGTTCTCCAGGATGATGACTTGCTGAGTACTGCTGGCCTCTGTAAGGGCACAGATCAGTGACATACAAGCTAGTGTTGCCAACACAATGCTTACTCACTGGCAGGATGCTTGTCAATTGACTTCTAGACCCACTCCCCCGTGTTGTCCTGAGAGGAAATGCTTCTGGCTCAAGTAATCTTTAATTTAGGTCTTTAATCCTTTTAGCCACAGCTGTCAAATATGTCCTTATGGCAGGCACCAGGTTATTTCAATGACTAACAAAAATATAAAATCCAACTAGACTCACAAGATGCTCTGATTTATTTTCTTCTCTGAACAGTCTGAGGGACTAAAGGACACGTTATTGTACTGTACCAGTGTCTGTTTCATACTCTTGCAAGTCAGGTCAGATGCATTTATACAGAGATGAGAAGTGTTTATTAGGAAATGAACACGGATTTTTTTCAAGAAACTTACTAGGCCTCACATGTTCCTCAAGACTGTCACTTTGGGAAATGCAATAATGGGGACAGTGTCAAAAGACAACCTGGACCAACTATGAAAAGAGTAACGTCAACATCAGGTTGGAAGTACAGTATGTGGAGGATAAACATCCCTGAGAACTAGCCAGAAGCACAGCCTGGGCCCACACGATACAGGACTGAAGTGTGGCCTCCATTTACATCTAGCATCCTTTACTGAGTGTGCTACATTTAATATGCTTAAATGCCAACTATTAATCCAAATGAATACATGCGCAAAGCTGATCTATCTAGAGTTTCTTTTTTATTTTTTGAAACTGAGATGTAATATATACATAGTAAAGAACACATATCATTAGTGAACCAAACTATCTTTTTAATGGCTAAAAGCAAGTAATTCCCTGCTCTTGTAACTTCCAAAAGAGAAAAGTAAGTAAATAAATTCAGTTTTAGCATTAGAAACAATCACTTCAAGAAAAGAAGGAAAACCTAAACAAGTTTAATCTCTGAAATTATTTTTGGTAAAGTTCAAAGAAGTTGAAGTCAGAAAATAACACTTTTTTTTTTTGGTAAAGACTGTGTCCATTTCTGTTGCTTATAACAGAACACCTGCAACTGGGTAATTTATAAGGAAACAAAATTTATTTCTTACAGTTTGGAGGCTGGGAAGTCCAAGGTCCAGGGAACACATCCGGTGAGGGCCCTGTTCTCAGTGGAGGCTATAGAAACACAGGGTGACACGAGGCGAGACGATGGCTGAGTAGGAGAGACTGACCTTCTCAGTTGCTCTCCTTTTAAAGCCATCAGAACCACACCCATGACAACCCACTAAACCATCAACCCATTACTCCATGAATGGATCAGTCCTTGGGATCCAATCACCTCTTAAAGGCCCCACCTTCCACAACCACATTGGTAGTTAAGTTCTAACATGAGCTTGTGGGGACATTCAAACCACAGCAAAGATCATGTGCAAAATGAGGGTTGATTTTATGTATTTCAGTGAAATAGCAGGGACTGAAAAATCAATACTACATACCTCAAAGCAAACTGCATGAATGTACATTAGTACAGCCATTAGGAAAAACAGTATGAATGTTTCTCAAAAAATTAAAAATAGAACTACCATATGACGCAGCAATCCCACTACTGGGTATTTATCCAAAGGAACTGAAATCAGTATGTCGAAGAGATATCTGCACACACGTTTACTGCAACTCTATTCACAATAGCCAAAATGTGGAATCAACCTGAGTGTCCATCAACAGATGAATGGATAAAGGAAATGTGGTATGCACCCACAATGAAACAGTATTCAGCCATAAAAAAGAATGAAGTCCTGTCATTTGCGGCAACATGGATGAACTGAAGGACATTATGTTAAGTGAAATAAGCCAGGCACAGACAGGCAAATACCACATAATCTCACTTACTTGCAGAATTTAAAAAAGCTGATCTCATAGAAGTACAGAGTAGAATAGTGGTTACCACAGACTGAGGAGGTGTGGGACGAGGGGTGATGAGGAGAGGTTGGTCAGTGGATACAAAACTAGATAGAAAGAAGGACAGAAAGAAGTTCTGGTGTTTTATTTCATAGTAGGGTGACTACAATTAACAATGCTGAACTGTATATTTCAAAATAACTGGAGGGGAAGATTCTGAATGTTCTCGCCACAAAGAAATGATAAATGTTTGAGGTGATGGATAAGGTAAATACTCTGATTTGATCATTATTCAATGTGTGTGTATATATATATATGTGTATGTGTGTGTATATATATATCGAAACAGACTGTATCACATAAACATGTACAACCATTATGTGTCAATTAAAAATAAAATACAACTTAAAAAAAAGTGTGTACTTTTCACTCACACAAAAAAAGTGGTCTAAAAAGTGAACTTCAGAGACCATGTGGTCTCTCTCTGCCTCTAAACAGTCATTTCTTTTTTTTGGCAGCTGGCCCAAAGAACCGTTTTTTAACCACCATAAAGACAGCTAGTCAGTCACCTACTCTAGAACTGATGCTGCAACAGACATTCTTATTTCTGCCCAGCCAAGTCTATGCAAACTTCCTGCCGGAGTCACCTTCTCACTGTTTTACTTTTCATGAATCTGCCTGTCTAAATGCTGCCTAATAAACACCTGTATTTCTCTATCTTGCACTATAGGTGTCTCTTGACAGTGCTTGTGTGATTTCCTTGAAAACCTGCAGGCACCGAAACATGCCCAGTTAGGACAATCTAACACACATGAGGACTCGTCCTGGGCAGACTGTCTACATGGGCATGATGCTTCTGAAAGCAGGACTGTGAGGGAATTTTCCCCCTTCCTCATAACACATGCACAAACACACTTTCCAACACTCATTCAAAAATCCCAAAACAAGAGATCAATGAAGAATTTTATGAGATCTGCTGGCAACCCTATGAATCTCCAGGAGCCTGGTTAATGAGTTACAGCTTACTGAGGCAACACTTCACTTAAGTGAGGGGTTGGCTGAAATTTAGAACAACTACTTCCTTTCATCCCTCATCTTTCTTTGGAATGCTGAGTGACACATAAAATAAAAACACTTACTGCTATCATCCAGGCAATGTGGCCAAACAGAGGAGCAGACAGGTTATAGAGGGGATGAAATGAGAGCCTGGGACTGGTTGGAGAATCAGGTGATTTTTGGCAATAGAAAAGGAGCCTGTATCAGCGAGTTCATCGTTTACTTTATAGTCCAAAGAGGAAAATGGCTTTCCTCAACAGCACTGCGAGCCTGCGGCAAAGCTATGAGGAGAAGCTGGGGAGTGGAGCCTAGTCTCTCTGCAGTGCAGTCGAGGCTTATATGCTCCCACTGCTGCCTCATTGGTGGGCTGGCCCCTACGACACCCTCTGCTCAGCTGACAGGCAGGGGTCTCCCAGGCTTCCCATCGTAGGGTGTAGCTCTGACCCAGTCTAAGGGGAAGTCTAAGATATAGAGGAGGATAAAGAGAAAAAATTGTCAAAGTGATTAAAAGGTGGTATTTCAAATGAAAATTTCTTTTTCAAAGTTGTCTTAGGTGGGCCGGCCCGTGGCTCACTTGGGAGAGTGCGGTGCTGATAACACCAAGGCCACGGGTTCGGATCCCACATAGGGATGGCCGGTTCACTCACTGGCTAAGCGTGGTGCTGACAACACCAAGCCAAGGGTTGCGATCCCCTTACTCGTCATCTTTTTAAAAAGAAAAAAGAAAAGTTGTCTTAGGAGAGGCAACTGCCTCTGCCCCAAGACTGCTTCATTGTCACGGCTACGTTGGCTTTTTCTTTATTGTGGTAAAATAGATATAACATAAAAATTACCATTTAAACTCCATTTTAGAAGAACTTATTCATGTATTTTTTAAAACTTGTGATTAATTATATGTAACATTTACTGCTTAAACTATTATTAAGTGCACAGTTCAGTGGCATTAAATACATTCATAATGTTGTGCAGCCGTCACCACCAAGAACATCTCAAGAACTTTTTCATCTTCCCAAACTGAAACTCTGTATTCATTAAACAATAACTCACCATTCTTTCCTACTCACAGCCCCTGGCACCCCCTGGCACCCACCGGCACCCACTGTTCTACTTTCTATCTCTGTAATTTGACTGCTCTAGGTACCTCATCTAATTTGAATAGAGCCATGTTTGTCCTTTTGTGTCTGGCTTATTTCACTGAGCATAATGTCCTCAAGGTTCATCCATGTTGTAGCATGTATCAGAATTTCCTTCCTTTTTAAGGCTAAATAAGACCCCATTGTATGTGTACAATACATTTTGTTTTTCCATTAATCCACCAATGAACGCTTGGGTTGCTTCCACCTCTTGGCTATTGCTAAAAATGCTGTTGTTTACAGAGGTGTACAAATATCTATTCAAGGCCCTGCTTTCAATTCTTTTGTGTATATACCCAGAAGTAGAATTGCTGAATCATATGAGAATTCTATGTTCTATCTTTTGAGGATCAGCCTTACTACATTGGGTTTTATAATATTTTGGCACATCACACTTACAATACACTTTAGGCTGTAAGTCTGCTTACCAGTAATTTCTTACTATGCTTAATCATAGGAGATGTGCCTATGGCAGATGGAATCTTATTATGCCAGCCACACAGGCTAATCAATTTCCTTTTCTTCTAGCCACACACCACCGTTTCTTAGGTAGAAACAAACGAGCTAAGTCTCGACACAGAACCACAAATTATCACTCAGCTAAATCAGTAGATGTGTTTACTGGGCTAACCTGAGAATGCCAGCATCTCACAGAGCTGGTTACCAATGAGATATGAAGACCTGACAATCCTAGAGGCCTTTATAGAACCTATGGATTCTTCTGAAGTTTATACCACCTGCCATTTCATTCACAGTAGCCCTTCTCCAGGGATACCAAGTATGGTGGTGCAGGTGTACACTGTGGCAGTCCTGACCCTCTTTCAAAACGTGTAGCTGTAATCCAGTCATTTCTTTTCTGTGCTGACTTCAGTAGCTAGCTCAGTTTTTCTGTACACTCATTCATTCCTCTGCTTGAATTTTTAGGCTTTTCAGCATCTATGCTAATTATTTTCCAAACACACTGACTTCCACACAAGACCTGGCATCCTCAAATCTAATGATTCTCATTAGATTTAATGCTCTCATTGCGTCACCTACCCTTCGGTGTGTTGCAGCTTGGATCTCACTACCATTTAGAACATATCCAAGCCCCAGATGACTCAATCTCCCATCCTTCTGCTTTTCTCAATCTGTCATCCCTGGGCTTGCTCTTGTTCATTGGTGCCTACCTATCTCCCAGCCCACCAGTCCCTTCCATCCTCCCAGCCACTCTACCAGCTTGTGCCTGCTGACCTGCTACTGGAGCGATGCTCCCATGGGTACCCATACTTCTACTGCTGCATTCTCCTTGCCAGTCCTAGCCTGGGGAGGATGGCACCAACCCCTCTCTCCCCATCTGCTCCCATACGTTGCAAAACAGGACTGACTGGTCCTGCTACTAAAGTATGTCATTTCACTCTAACTTTGCTACCTCTGCTGTGCAGCTGTCCTTGTACCCATTCTTTTTTTTTTTTTCTGACTGGTAAGGGGATCACAACCCTTGGCTTGGTGTCGCCCGCACAGCACTCAGCCAGTGAGCGCACCGGCCATCCCTATATAGGATCCGAACCCGCGGCCTCGGCGCTACCAGCACCGCACTCTCCCGATTGAGCCACGGGGCCGGCCCCTTGTACCCATTCTTAGTGGAGTGCCCCGCCCCTCACTCTCCCCACATCCACTACTACAAACCCTTTCTGCTTTTCTCTGCTCAAGCGGCACATCTCAATCCTGCAACCCAGACTTTATGCACAGAGTTTTGCCACTTAATTTTTTGAAAGGATTGGGAACACTTAAGATGAATTTTCATGCCAAGAAAAACAAAAGTATAAAATAAATTACTGATATATTTGATTAGATAATTACAATTTTTTAAAAAGTTTTTTTACAGCCAATAACACAAACCAGGCTGAAAAGTGAATGACAAAGTAGGAAAAAGAAAATGTGAGTTTCTTCAACTTTTTATCTTCCTCAGAATTGTCCTACATGTCCTTTTATCTATTCTCTTCTCCTTCCCTCCTCTGACAGCCTTTGAGGCTCATTTAGGAGACCCTGCTTTCCCCTGGTTGCTCTAGGACCACAATCCATTAATTGTTTTCTACTCTTCCTGTG